ATCTCATGATATGCCAACTGACGTAGAGTTGTTTGCCTCCTCTGTTCAGAAACAGTACCAGCTCCTTCTTGCTGAAATGTACCCTTTTTGCAGTTGTCGTTTTGTTGCTACGGTCCGAACTGTCAGAAATGGTAAAACACGTTTTTATCGCTGACTTTTCACAGCATTCTTCAGTTCTCCAACGGCTTGCGCGATTTTTGGCGATTCAAGTGACGATCAAACCGGAGAAACGGTTGATACTGGCAATTCCATAAGGTGCAGGTGGCCAAATTTTGTGGAAAACTTTACCACGATTCCCAGCCATCCTCCTTTTTCATCAAGGCTTGAAACTGGCAACAGTAGAGATAAACGTCCTTTCGCACTTTAATAGCCATGATCGCGAAACGTTTTGTAAATTGCTGCTTCTATATTCATTCATTCTAAATATTCTGCACTCGTTTAATGATTTCTCTGAACAGAAGATGGCTTTAAAAATATGCTTTGAACTTCACAATTTTCTGTTAAATGGGTAAAGAAATTCTGGGTGGATAGATCCATAAGGTGAAAAAATATTAAATGTTGGCTTATTAATTCCTAAATCATGGTTTTAGATGCATGCTAAATAGTTGCAGGTCTGTTGCAGAAAAATAAGGATGAAACTATCTACTCTTTCACTTATTCTTTTGATCAATCGATTGTTCATTCATTCATCTATTGATTGATTTATTCATACATTCGTTAGGCATTTGTTTATTTATTCATAATTCAATCAATAAATCATTTATTCATTCGTCATACCATCCGTACTTCAGTTCGTCCGTTTATTTCTATTCAAAGCTCAACATTTTTGGCTGAAGCTGCAGGAGTTTCATGAAGTTTTACGGTCCGAAAACCCTCAAAAATTTTTTTCATGTGTTGCATTCAGAAGCATCATGCTGAATAAACTTGAACGGCAAGACTCTCACTAGGCTACTTATATGTCGGTCATGCAGATTTGCAAAGAGACGTCTTTTCTGACATCCTGAACTCGTGCACAAGCCATCGCAACTGTGATGTTCTTATATAGAATGAGGGAGTCTCCCAACAACGGTGCTTTGTAACTTAATGCTCTTAAGATTTCTGTGTCTGTCACACGAGAGACTTGCAAAACTGAGAAAGTAATACATCTTGCCTATTTGCATCAGCACCCGAGATCCGCATTCGGTCAAGATCCAACATTTATCAGAATATCAACGATCATGAGCAGCAAATCTGGGCAACCGAATTGTACACGTTCTGATTGCCTTGATGACAAATAATTATGATAACAACACCTCAACCATATGCGAAAGAAAATGGACAGTTGAAGTGGCCTTTGAAAGTTGAAGCGATGGGAAAGAGCACAGGAACAGAAAGGAGGTATAAAAATGGAACGTGACAAGACGGGCCTTAGGGGAATGAATTCTAAACATTCAATGAAAGATAGACTTGTTTCAGTTAGTCGGTCATAAGATATGATTCATTGATTGTCTGGTTTTTGCACACGGCATTTAATATTAAGAATGCTTTTCAGGTAAAGTTCCTCGCGTAATGAACTTCTGGCATGCTTAATCAAAATTTGAACTTATGTAAGATGAGCCGTCCGAACGATTCCTGTCGATAATTTAAGTTGAACTGAACTTCCGCTCCTCCGGTGATGGAAGAGCGATTGGAGAAGCGGTTGGCATGGAAATGCGGAATAGTATTTTTTTATGGCTCATTGGGATCACTGATGGGTCTCGATATTTTCTACATGAAAAGAGCCACTTCAATGTTGGCTGATAAAGCAGCTGTATGAGAACGAACTTTAGAGCAACTTTGTACTGATCCAATTGATGGTTACTCACTATAACTTTTAGTCAATGCATGGGTTTTACATGTTCTGTTTTTTCAGTTCCTAGCTATGCTGTAGTTTTGGCATTCATCAGTATCACTACCAAGAGTAACTTTAATATAATTACTAGGCATTTGAAGATTTAAATGACATGATAAAGGTAAACGCTAAAGACTATTTTACTGGCATAGTTTTGTCCCGTGAATGGTCATGTTGCATACAAAAACAGAGTTTTAACGTAGATGCTCTTTTTGCGTATATTAACACTGGATTCCCATAAATTTCATTGAAAAATTAATTAATTAAATTAATGATTAATTTGAAACGGTTTCCAAGAGCGCGTAAAGTAAAAAATTAAAGTGCTTCAAACAAAAACGAAAGTATATATTTCGACCTTGCAGGTCTTGGAATGTATTCAACTGCTTCACGCTGCCGATGTCGGAATCTACGCGCACACTTTTACCGACATTGCTGTTAGCCATCAACGGAACAGTTGAAACAAGTCACAACTCAGTGGAGTTGGGGTCATATATATTTCCTTTAGCTCATCGTCCCATCTGAGCAGGTTCTTCCAACTGGGCGCTTCCTCTACCTTGGGTACCCATCCGTCACTGCCCAAGTCTCTGTGCTATCTGTTACTCGTGCGATGTGACTTGCTTCTGGTCGGTTTCCTTTTTTGAAACTGATGCAGCCTGTTTCATCTCCGTGACTCCTCCCATTTCATGCTTTTATAGCTTGTCCTTTATGGATAATCCCTTCATCATTTATCCCATACGCTGCTGAAGCAGCCTTAACAGTGGTTCATCTGTCTTCGCATCCTTCACACAGAACGACACCTTTTAGCAAGGTTCGGGCCAAAGGATGAGTTCGAGACGATTGGCTCTCTCAAGCAGACGTAATCAGAGGTTTCCTTAGTTGCTAACCATTGATCGTAACTCATGCTGGTTGAGTGAATTCATTTCTCATCATTTTCGCATTCACTCTATTTTCCTGAAGTCGAACTTGCTTGCTCTTTTACCCTAACTCGTGCAGCATGGTTTCAACCACTTTCGCCTTCTTCCTCAACAGCACGGTGTTGTCAACAAATGGGAAATGGATAAACCGTTTGGCGTTGACTGAAATTATTTGACCTCATTTAACTGAACCTACACAGTAATGGTTCTTTACAAGTAGCGGAGTAAGTCTCTACAGTATTTTTTGTTACTTTCGGCAGAATGGGTGCCTGTATTCGTCACTGAAGTAGCCTTATGGTTGGAGAGTTTTCTAGTTCTCAGTATCAGTGAAAGTTTGCAGTGTCATGTTGACCTTACAAAATCCTCCCTTGTGTAGTTCCCTGACATTTCCAGAGTCGAACCTCAAATTTTGGCCTGTGCCGTTCGTCAACATTGGCTCCGCGCGTGAAACCAATGCTATGCGTTTTGGATGGTCATTTTCCAGCTCCTTTTCCACAAGGTCATCGGAAAACACACGATACCATGATGACTTGGTCAGCCGGTATTCAACAATCTGGCGGATTGCGTACCCGCCACAGCCGTTCTTCACTTCTGTCTCATTCTCGTCTTCTTTCGATGCTCTGAATGATGAAATGACAAACTAACTTCAACCTCCTTGTATCTCTGAGTTTGGTACGTCTGCAATAATGAATGAACGCTGCCGTATTCAAGTGTGTGGAGGCTAACGAACATGTGACTAAATGAGCAATACCGTCGCCGATGAAATTAGCGTACATGCTTGAAAAAAATTATGTTCAAAAGGCAGTTTCGCCGATATCATATCACTGGACTGTACGGATGATCTGAGGTTGGAAACAGGAACAGATTAGAATAAAATTGTGCAAAGCCATCAACAGAAATGCTACCGTGAAATTCATGTGAAGTTTGCGACCTCACGAAGTTTTGCAGCTCGGGAATCACCGTACATCTGCCCGTAGAAGGCGAATTCAAAGCGATTTGCGTTCGGCATTTACCGACCTTCGGCGTCACATCAAATGTGACAGATGTCATTAAATTTAAGGCCATAAGCGCGCCGTGTACTTCACCTGCCAACGCTCATCATACGAGAACGAAGAGAAGAACCAAATCATCCAGTGATGGATCGACTCTTCCGAGTCGTGCATCATTAAGTAGTTTTTATGCTGGTTTTCGATCTGGCTGTTAGAAGTAACTTTTCACATGTCATTCACTAAGCTCGAGTGCAGTGTGGGAAAAACAGGGAAGTATCACGTATGGACATAACGTAACCTCATGAGAAATGCAGACAGTACCGCTGTTGAAGCGATCATGATGAGGAGCGCACTGTGCGTGACTGGTCACCGACGACGGGCTTCTACGACTCTGACAAGTGTGCTAATCAAATTCGCAATGACAAACGAATTTCCATTTAGGACAAGAAAAATATTCGCTACAAATTGGCAGTTGGGTATTTATTACGAGAGATGTCCTGACGTGGCTCCGAAATTTAATTACCGTATCGTCCCTCCGTGCCCTTAGCCTCAAAATGTGACCTCTCTGCACCTCAGGTGATCAGCGATGTCAAGTCACTGCTGCACCTGTCCGAGTGTTAATGACAGCTCATTTCGCCGTGTTGTCGTCTCGTGCTAGCATTCGACGTCCAGGTGGCCTGGTGGGACGGACAACACCGCGAGAGCAATTAAAATACACGGTTTCTGTTGAACAACGGCCAGAGAATTAAAGCATGGCTTGAAAGCATTGCGGTGAATTTACCGTCAATTAGCCAAACGCGCAAGCAATTCGAACGCATTATTAAATTATTTGTCTGGTTGCTCCGCGAAACTTCTTGTGCACCAGGCGACAGTATAAAAGACCGAGTCGGTCGCAGCCGGACATCGCGAGGTATACGTACAGACAGAACCTCTGGCTGGGTCGCTCTCTGTCGGCAGTGCAGTCATCGTAGTCAGTTTTCGGTTGGACTACCGCGGAAAGGTAAGACGACCTCGGTGATGGCTTGACCGGGTTTGAAGCCGGCGAACGCTGTTCTCACAATAGGATCCTTAACCGCGCCTCGGAGTTCGAAGGCCACCTCATGCCACATACCGCTGCACCCTCCTACCGATGAATAGTTTCTAGTTATGGAAAAAAGGGTCAAAATGAATTATTATTACCAGCGAAGGTTTCTGAGCCCTAACTTGAACTCGTTTTGGCGGTCTTTTTTCAACTCTCAACGACGCTGTTATTCTAGCTGTGCTTTGAAGAATCATCACCGCTTTGGGTCATGAAAGCTCTACTTATTACAAAAAATTGTGTTTCCAAATTTGAATTATCTTTTTAATTTTCAAATAGCGTTAAATTAATTGTTCATGTCCCTTGGTAGTAAAATTCCTATTTTCCATCTGGTAGAAGCTCGCACTGTCTCACCGTTACTGAGGCTGACAAACGCTTGACAGAATCGACGCTTGGTAGAATAGTTGCTTTTGACCTTGTTGCACTGGTCCGACGAATTGCAGTGACCTCCCGTATCGATGC